CTAGGAAGAATGTATGCAATGTGTTAATTATTGAAACTGTCCTACCAATTTGGTTTGAAACTGTCTCATTGCTATTTGTTTATCAATAAAATTATGGAATAAATAAATAAATAGAACAAAAAACCCAAAAAACAAAAATGTATAAGCCGTGCTATTTTTTTCTAGAACAAATTTGAATTTGTTCCTTATGTAGAATGTTTTGATTAAAACCAGTGATCAGCAGTTACACCGGAACTCTGCTTTTTTGTTAACGGAACTATCAAGGCTTGAGATAATTTCATTTTTTCAGAGTATATAGGTCTCTAATTCCAGCACTTGCGACGCTGAGGTAGGAGGATCGCCACAGGTTAATGGCCAGCCTGGGCTATATACAGAGAGTTAAAGACCAGCCTGAACTGTATAGTGAGATCCTGTCTCAATAAACACCTCAATAAAAGGGGGGAACAGAAATACTCTTATATGCTTATGGGACTGTTTCTGGTTATCAGAATTTTATAAAGTGAGCTAGCAGAATATACAGTATACAATATGACAGAAAGACTAAGACTGATGTTTATGAAGCTTATAGCACTGCTTGTGCTCATAGGTCACATTTCAAAGACCACTTCTGCCTGAGTATTTTAAAATCCATTTTAGAAAATGCTTCATAGAGCTGGGCGTGGTAGTACAAGCCTGTAATTCTAGCACTTGGGAGGCTGAGGTAGGAGGATCACCATGAGTTTAAGGCCAGCCTGGGCTACTAAGTGAGTTCACAGCTAGCCTGGACTACACATAGCGAGACCTGTTTCAGAAAACTTTAAAAAATGCGTAGTAAAGGACTTTCTCATTTTATGTATGAATCTACTCCATCACAATATAATTAATTAAAAGCACTTTTTCCATTTGATATGGTAAATTAACAGGTAACATTTTCATTTCCTCCCTCCCTTCTTTCCTTCCTTCCTTTCAAATTTGAATAAAGGCAGAACAATAATTTAAAGATTATCTTCCTGTAAAAATGGCCAAGTAGCCTGTCCTATTTTATTATTTTTTTTATGTTTATGTATTTAGTATAGCGTCTACTGGGTCTCACTACACAGATTAGACTCATAGTGCTCTTCCTGTTTTTAAGCCTCCCAGGCGCTGGGATTACAGGCCCACACCACCAGGCCCAGTCTCAGTTGCCCTCTCTGTGCGACCCCCTGGGGGTGGGACCAGTGGGCACCTACTTTAAAACTAGACATAAGCAACCCTCTGTTGCTTTCCTTAAGGGTCCCTGCTCTGAGCCTGGCTGCCTGGCTTACACCTAACGGTTAGGATCAGGTCTCCAGATCTCCCCGGGGCAGAAGCTGCTGTTTGGTCACAGCAGCCCGGAGCTGTTTCACCCTGGCTTTAGAGCAGTGAAACCCCAAGACAGACTTTCCCTGGACCTGTTTCTTATCCACATTTGTCCTCTTTGGGGCCTGAGTGAAGGAGGATCCCTAGACAGCCTCCTGTTCTGGACAGCAGCCTATTAAGGAATATGTTAAGGCTAGGAAGCCATGGGGAGAGAGCCAGAGGTCATTAGGTTAGGAACGCCATTAGTTTTGGTAATATATTATCTCATGGGTAACGACTGCTCAGTGAGCTTTGAGATATTAGGCAAGGTACCCTCTAACCCGTCTGACCTGTGCAATAGTTAATGACAGGATCAATCTCAGATGTTTGCCACGAAAACTAAAATGTGCATTGCTGATGGTTCTTAGTGAGAGGCCCTAGAATCTGGGTCTGACTGGTTTAAGCAGAGATCTGGAGTAGAAATAGGAAATTTCAGCCTCACTGGAAGGAGGGGAGAACCGAACCCAAAAGTTACTCAGCTCTCAATTAGTCACAGTCATGACATGAAGGCAGTCTTGGCGAGGCTTGTTGCATTTTTCCTGAGTGTTGAATGCCACAGGTCGAGTTCCTTGTGCTGGGACTGTTATTAATAGTGCCGTCACTGCTGCCTTTTTTTTTTTTTTTTTAATGTATGTAGTAGAGAGTCTACAAGGTCTTACTACATAGATTGAGTTCCGACTCCTAGTGATCCTGTTTTCAGCCTGCCAAGCGCTGGGATTACAGGTGCCTGCTACTGCCCCTAGTCTTTTTTTTAAAATTATTTATTTATTTATTTGTGTGTGTGTGTGTGTGTGTGTGTGTGTGTGTGGCCAGCTCAGCCCACCAGGGGGCAGGGCTGGCTGGCATGTGGTGCTGGGGCATTGAACTGCGGTCCTTGTGCTTTGCTAAGCTTGTTCTAAATAGGTGCTTTAGACCACTGAGCCATCTCACCAGCCCCCCTAGTCTCAATCATCATTTTAGCATGTCCTGGGGGCAGGGCTGGCAGGGCACACTATGACTGAACCCCTGTGCTCTGCCTAAGCAGCTGCCTTAATCTGCAGAGCTATCTGGCTAGCCCTTCTGCCTTTGAAACTAACACCGCTGCTGCTTCCCAAAATAAGTCTTCTCTTTTGTCAGTAGTTCTTTGTGTCTATTCCTCCTGATGGACAGCATTAGGCTAGTGATTCTGGGTCACTGAGCCATGTCGTGCCGTAAGGAGCCTGGGAAGGTCAGTTTATGATATGCTCAGCATTCTTGCAGGACGTGGACTCTGCCTGCCATGAAAATTTAGAAAACTGGGAATTCCTTTCAGAGCTGGAAGGCTCAAGGTGATAAATTGCCACTACCTAAAAGATGCTCAGTAGGGTACCTGCCGTGTGGCAAGTGTCCAAAAGACAGTGGCTTTTAAATTTATATTTTAGAAAAAAAAATTATATTTGTCAGGTTTTTTTTTTTTTTAACAAAGGTTGGGGAGGTTTCTACTCCCACGTTTGATTCTTTGAAGTAAACAGGTGGGCGCTACTAGAATAGCACAGGTCCAGTAAACGGATGAAGGTGAGATCCAGGTTTAGGATTTACAAGGCAATATTCTGTTCACTTCTGAGTAACTCAAAGGTAGTCCTGGACTCCTTAGCCAAGGCGGGTCGGGTCGGCACCCGTAGCCCGGAGTGCTGCCGCCGCTCCCCTAGTTGCCACCCTTTCCCCCTGGCTTCCCATTTACAAGAGTGGTTGCTCCAGAAACTCCAATTTGGAAAGCTCGGGCCTACCGTCAGAGTCCTGGATTTGATTGACGTCCAGTTTCCTCATGCCTGGCAGCTGATCTAGGGCAGGTTGGCTGTTTGGATGTAGAATGACTGCCTGAAGTTTCAGTCTTAACAAAAATAAGTGTGATTAAGGGGGACTGAGTTGCTGGGGAGGGAAGAATTTATTTAGAAATAAGAAATAGGAAATAAGTTTGGATGGAAAAATAGGATCAATTAATCCTGTTTATACACTGAAAAGATGATTTGGAAGAATTTTGGTCAAGGGGAAAGATAACATGATTAAGAGTGAGAACATTCATTTTATGTTTTGTCTCTGGCAACTTGATTTAATAAATGTATAAGCTCATTAGTGTTTTGAACCTGCATTTCTTCAAATGAGGGATGAGAGTAAATAATTCATGCCATACATTTTCCTTTTCTTATTCAGTGTGTTTTTATTGATTACTACTATTTATGAGGCTCTATTCTAAATTATTATATCTATATAGTGATAAAATATGCTGCTTGCGTTAAGGGGGTGGTGGTTTAATGAGAGAGCCAGAAATAGACGAGTGAATACATAATTAAACATATAATAAAACTGTAAAGGAATCAAATAGTGAAAGGAGACAAAAGCGTTTCAGGCCTACACAGAACTCACACGGGAGGCTTCTCTGAGGCGATGAGGTTGAAGGGGATGGTGGTCCAAGGGGGAGCGAGGCGTGTGCAGCGCTCTGAGGCGGGCCTGGAGTGTGGTGGTGGACACGCCGAGCGGGAAGGCAGGCCGGTGGAGGTCGGGCAGCCCCCCTGGCCGCGGGAGCAGCCCGCAGTGGGGGTGCGTGAGGGGCCCGCGTGCCTTCAAGGCTGAGAGACCTGGAAGGGCCAGACTGGCATGGTAGCCGGTGAGGCTGTGTCTGTGGAGG